CATTGATACCAATTAAAATATTAGATGTATTTATTGAATTTTTACGTGTGATTTGTATAATCATTATTTGAGATTTTCACTCATATCATTAGGGTTAAAAGTGCCCTTCCCTCTCTTTTTTGTTTTTTATATAATTTTTATATATCATTAAATGAATAGATATATTTAATATCATAAATTTTACATGAATTAAAATAATTAATTATTTTAATAATATGTTAAATTATACAAAAAATAAATAAAATAAAATAATTATACAAAAAACATCTCTCTTTCCTTTTCTCCTTGCATCCAACTCCCATTGAGCAAAAAAAAAAAAAAATCTGTGTATATATATATATATATAGAGTGTATTCATTAATTAATTTACAAAAATTAGGGCGGTACAAAAAGGCAATTGACCTACTACCAATCCTATCTTTTGAATTGAATTGATGAAATGGGAAGAGATACAATGGCTCTCTGATAATAAATGTTTGATAGAGAAAGCACACCAAAGACATCCCTAGCTTCCCCAGAAGCATGAATGATACATAAAAAAAAAAAAACAACCCCACCTTATATTTTCCCCATCAAAATCTGCTTTCAAATCCCACAATCTCTCCGTGCAAATATCGTAGAGAAGTATTCAATCATTTGTACGGTCGTTGGACCCATTAGCTCTGACAGACGCGCAAGGCATGGCCATATAATCAGATATATCTTAGTACTAGTTTAATTTTGTTGTCAGTGGTTTAGAACTCAACTCAACAGGTCAATCCCTTTTATTTTATTGATAATTGTACGGTTAGAATCCAATGATTCCATACCAGGAAGGCAGAAAGCACAACTAACACTCCAAAGTCCCTAATAATGCAAATATGCAACTTCATAAATAATTGTTTTGCCCATAATGTATAGGTACCTGTCCTACTAGAGAGAAAAAAAAGGCTTAGAAATTCAAAACAAGCAGCCTCTTAGGCTTTGGCTTAGTAGTAGGAAATGATAAGTTAACATCTCATGCTATTGGAAGGCAATGCCAACTTGTTGTGTCTTTTGAACTCTCTTCCAAAAAATTCAAACATTATTTATTATTATCGAAACCCACCCATGAAGTCGGCAGCCACTCAATTGTACCTTCATATTAATCAACTACG